AATTGGGATGAATGTAAAGTGTAAGTATCAATTGTGTAAGTAGGCTTTTGCGCTGAGTTTGTTCGTGAGGTATTATTATTTTGACAGGTTTCTCTTTGTTGAGACATTTCTCGAAACTCAAAAATACAATCTCAGGTTATTTGATTAAAAAAGTCGCTGTTTACGCGAGGTAATATTTCCAATAACGGCATCAATCGTTGTTTAATCGTCCAATAAAATTCAATGTAATATATCAATATGGCTAAAATTAGCTGCATGGATCTTCATCATACTTCTACATACAGTACAGCCAATTTTTTTTTTCAAGTATGATTGATCAATCATATAGATAATTTTTTTTTAAACGTCAAAGTGTTATAACTTAAAATTTATAAATCAAATAAAAATCTATTCTAACAGAATTGTAGCTTGGATAATATCAATATCGATATCACGATGGGCACGAAAAATAACATAAATAAACCACCACCGCGTAATTTGCGAAAAGAGGGAAGGATTAAAAAACGAACTTTATCTTCGATATTACACAAAAATGGGATTTTAAAACCTAATCAATTAGTAATACATGGTAAAGATCTATCTAAAAAGAAACAGAAAAGGATAGAAAGGAGGTTTCGATTTGTGAGTTTATGCAAGTATTTTTTGTAATCCTACGAGTATTTTGTATGTTGTTAATAATAAATATTTATTTTCTTTAAAGGAATTACGTAGACGTGTTGAACAAGGTGAAATGGTGCCAGAAAAACTAATCAATGCAGGTGAATGTTTTCATAATTCTTAATAATTTTACGAGTTGTTTATTCGACTTTTGAATAATAACCAAATTTTTATAAAGATGTGCCATCAAACATTGATAGTCAACAAACCATAGAAATGGATATTGTATCGTTAGGAACTGGTACTATATTAGGTGCACCTTCTCTCAAACCTGATCAAATTAATGTGGATAACTATTAAATGCCAATCATATTTTTTTATTAAATTAAATAAATAATGCGATTTGTTGGTTAAAAGAATGCATGTGAATTATGGATTGATTAATTTCTTCATGTCAATTCCTTATGTTAATTTTTTAACTATCCATAATACAAAGAACCCAACACATCCAATCATCAGGGTAGTTTTCACACCTCTTTCTGTACCAAATAACCACCATAAACAACCAACTATTCTACTGGATGCTTCACCGATTGTAAATTTAAGATTTCTATGCTCGTCAATCTTAAATGGAGAATTGGGCGTACCCGACTTAATGACTGTCCGTTTATGTTGTGGTGTTATGGCAAATAGGGCAGAAACGGGTTTGTGGTCCGATAAGGTGTAAGAAGGATGTGACATATAGCTAATTAGTAATACTGGTGAAGATCGCTCGGTAGTACTGCCAGGATCTCCTCCTTGTAATTCATCCTTTTTTCGCCAATAATAAAAAATCCTATCACACCAACCAGGAGTTCGACGTCTGACATCAAATTCATTCACACTCCCAATATAATATTTATATGTTGGCATGAAATTTAGTTCACCTTCTTCAAATCCATGTAATACTCTACCATCAATTATTTCTCTTGCTAATTGATCGCAAGCCCTAATTCGTTGATGTTGGCGAGCTCGCAGAACGTCAAGTAGGCTTGAAATATTTAGAGTATTATTATTGAAATTTTCTTGTTCTTCCAACTCGATTCTATAATTCAAGTCGCCGAAGAAGAAAAGAAAATCAGAATCGTATATAGTAAAGTAATGCTGATGTTTACTGTTGTGCGATGGTAATAACGGCGCCGAATCTCCACCTTCCATGTTCGTCATCATTATTTCACAATCTTCTCGTTGCTCTTGTGTGGAGTCTCTATTAGTATTCTCAGAATACATAGTATTGGTAAACACTAATCGTTCACAAATACTTTTAAAATCTTGATTACGCTGATATGTATTATGACTGTGCGGTGCGAGATGTGCGCAAACAAAACACAACACTAATTCTCTTGTACTATATGTTTCATCTTCACTCTCGGGCACCTGTCCGCCAATCGCATTCGCGTTAATAACAATTCTAACACCCACTCCTCCTTTGTTTCCGATCCAAAATGGACCAACACCACATTTAGCTATTTCGACATTTAAAATCCATTTAGTAACGCTTTTGTCTCTAACATAAACGAACAACGCTAATCCGACAAGACTACTTTTCACCAATGTTGTATAACTTTCTTTTGTATTTGCAAAAATTACTCTTTCTATCAAGCTAGAACAATGTTCAAGTCGCTCTTCATTACCATTGTGTTTATTTAAGCCACCAGGGAGAAAAGATGTGTTACCTAATTGTGCTATGTTGCTAGAAAGTGATGCATTGCTTAAATATGAACTATTGCTGAAAAATGCGCTAGGGAAAGGACTAAATTCTTGAAAGCCCACTACTATTATATCCGGCTTATCGGTTATCGAAGAATTGGTTGGAAATAACCAGGATGAAAGATCTTGATCTATTTCTTGTTTATTTACGTTATAAGTTCCAACCAAAATTTTTAGAGACATGGCTAGTGTAAAGTGTGTATTCCAACGTAATTTTATTAAATGATTACACATGAAAACGTATTACTGTCGGCCCATAAATGGGTTTATCAACATTACCTAATTTCCAGCAACATTAACTAAATTCTAAACTTAGCTATATTCATATGAAGCCGACGCAGCCAGGGCGGCCCCCCC